GTGGATTACCTGAGCCCGCGGGTTCGAGAACCGCCTAGGCAACTTGGTGAGACCTCATCTCCACTATAAATAAAATACTAGCCGGGCATGGTAGCGCGCGCCTGTAATTCCAGCTACTTGGAAGGCTGAGGCAGAAGGATTGCTGGAGCCCAGCAGGTCGAGGCTGCAGTGGCCAGGAGCAGCCACTGCACTTCAGTCTGGGTGACAGAGTGAGACTCTAACTCAAAAAAAATGAAAGCAGGCTGGCCAGAACAAAGTTAAAAAAAAAAAAAAATTGACATTAAAGTGGCACAATTGTTTTCTTCTGAAACTAATTAGACACCTTCTATGTATTGTGTATATTCCCCACTAGAATGTAAATTTTGTACTTACGAAGTTTGGGTCTGTATTTTTTTCGCTGAAATATGCGAAGCACCCAGACATCCTGTTTCATAATAGGGCATTCACAGACTGGATGAGTGAACCCATGAATTCCTAGGCACATTCAAGTTGAAGTACACTGGATGCTGGGGAAGGAGACAGACGATCACAAGGCTAGTTGAAAGTGCTGCTGTGGTGGTGAGAGACGAGGAAGGCCTAGGAAGGCCAACCGTGTGTCTAGTGTGGCTGGTAGTGGAGTGGCTGGAAGAGGAGAAAGTGACTTTTTGTCTGTGGCGTGGTCCTGGTGGGGAGGCTGAGAGGGCAGCTGGTGTGACTATGCTGTGCAGGGCCAGTTGTGGCAGCCCATGAGCTTCTGGCGCTTCTTTCTCCTGGAGACAGGGAAATACAAAACTAACCTTTTTTAAAATTAAATTTAATTTTTTTATTTTTTTTTTTGTGTTGGAGTCTCACTCTGTCGCCCAGACTGGAGTGCAGTGGCCACTCCTGGCCACTGCAGCCTCGACCTGCTGGGCTCCAGCGATCCTTCCGCCTCAGCCTTTCAAGTAGCTGGAACTACAGGCGTGCGCTACCACACCCGGCTGATTTTTTGATTTATTGTAGAGATGAGGTCTCCCTGCCCAGGCGGGTCTCGAACCCATGAGCTCAGGCAATCCACTCACCTCAGCCTCCCAAAGGCGCGGGATTACAGGCTGAGCCACCGAGCCCGACTCTAACCTTTTTTTTTTTTTTAATTTTTTTTGAGATGAGGTCTCACCAGATTCCTGGGCTGGTCGTGAACTCCTGGATTTAGGCATTCCTGTCACCTCTGCCTCCCAAAGTGCTGGGATTACAGGCTTCAGCCACTGCGTCTGACCCAGTACCCATTTTTTGATGCTTTCACTTCCCTTCCTTAAAATAGCTTAAGTTTTATTTTCTAGGCTTATATAGTTAAGGCATAGTCTTATTTCAGGGGCAAGAAGAAACACCGCATTCAGATGTTCTCACTCTTAATATGTTGAGAAATTTTAAACTGCTAATACCTGAAATAGAATGGAGAACTATGAACTTAATTTGTGGGCCAGGTGTTGTGTCATGGCTGTTAATCCCAGCACTTTTGGGAGGCCAAGCTGGGAGGGAAGATCGCTTGAGGCTAGGAGTTCAAGACCAGACTGGGAAACATAATGAGACCCTATCTCTACAAAAAATAAAAACACATTAGCTTGGCATGATGGTGGGATGCCTGTAGTTTCAGCTACTCCAGAGGCTGAGGTGGGAGTATGGTTTGAACCCAGTTCAAGGCTGCGATGGGCTGTGATCATGCCACTGCACTGTAGCCTTAACAACAGAGACCTTGTCTCTTAAAAAGAAAAAGGCATATGTAAGGATAATTAGGCATGGTAAGTAGCTGATTTTATATATATATATATCCTTTTTGTTTATAGAGAGCACATGGACAATGGTTGGATCATTTTCCAAGATGGGACAGAATGAGCCTCAGCACACTTTACCTAGTTGACAGTCTTGGTTGAACTTTGGCTTAGCCTGGGACATTAGTTTGGGGTGGCAGGATTTTGTTATTGGGAGAATCCTATTAAGCTTAGCCTTCCAGCCAAAATGTTGGTGTGGCAGGGCCTTGCAAAGTTCTCTTTCAGGTGTGCTGTGCCATTAGCATTGAATGATGTCTCAGTTCTGCCTGGGAGTAGAAGGTAGACAGGCTATTTTGAGTGTTGTAATAATAGGATTATCTGTTGGGAGATACTATTTTGTAAATATCTCCTCTGCCCTGCCTGAGGATAACTTCTTGAATGTATTAACCCTTTGCACTTGAATGCCTCTCAGGAGACATCATAAGTCTAGCAAACCACTCAGATGTCCCCTCTCAGGGGACATAAAGAGATTGCTGGTGATTATACAGGACAAACTTACGCCAGTGTAAACTTTTCAAAAACGTATTTTCCTTAAAGTTTTCCATTCGAATTACATGAAAAAGCAAATAAAGAGATGGAATAAACATGTATCAATACATCTGCAGTGCATGTGGGTGATTATTTCACATGTTGCCACACTTTAGAAAAATATGGATTTAAAATTTTGATTTTCTTTGTTATAAATAAGTTCCTCGATGTCCAAAATCTGTTATCAGTCAAGTATCATTACAATAAAGTGATTGGTTCCAACGCTATACTATTTAATATGAAGTGATTTGTTTTCCACTGTTTCATAAAAAAGTGCAGTTGAGTGACTGGTAAGTGACTTGTGAGATGTCTCCTGGCGCAAAGGGTTAAGCTTTGAGAGAAGAGGGAAGGATTTGTTTCAGTGGTACTTTCCTTTGTGTGTCTGTATGATGCAGCTTTACAACTTTCTAGTGCTTTCCTCTAGTCTGTTTTAGGATTCTCCTATAAGCTTTTCAGGTTGTAAGTCCCTTGGGTCTCTTTCTGCTACCTTTCCTAACATCTTCTTCCTCGTCATAAAGTGATTCAAAGAATGGGTCTGGAAGTGACTTTAAAGATCTTCTAGTCTGGCTCTCCTCATACTTCCCACAAATCCAGAAGGGTCAGCTCTATTTCCAATAGCTAAATATTCTGCCACCTGGACCAAGATCCTCCTAGGTTCAGGCGACTAGACTACAGAGGTGATTCTGCCTCTGTGATTTCCTTTCCTCCTTCCCTCCATCGCCTCCCTCTACTTCCCCTCCCTCTGTACTTTTCCTGTTTTATCAGCCCTCCTTCCTTTCTTGCTTCTAGGCCATATAGGCCAGCCAGGGAAGGCTGAGTGAATAAGGTCTGAAGGTACCTCTGAGGTACACAAACACGAAAATTCTTTGAACTTGATGCATGCTGATCATACTCTTCTTTTCCTAGGATGCTCACAACTGTATTCCTGAGCTGGACAGTGAGACAGCCATGTTTTCTGTCTACGATGGACATGGAGGTAACTTTAGCAGATCCTATTGGCCACACACTAGGACCCCAATTGCAGACTTTTTTTTTTTGAGTTGTAGTCTCTCTCTGTCGCCCATACTGGAGTGCAGTGGCCGCTCCCGGCCACCGCAGCCTCGACCTGCTGGGCTCCGGCGATCCTTCCGCCTCAGCCTTCCAAGTAGCTGGAATTACAGGCACGCGCTACCATGTTTGGCTAATTTTTTGATTTTATTGTAGAGTTGAGGTCTCACCAAGTTGCCCAGGTGGATCCGATTCCAGACTTTATGGGGCAAGAACAGGTCCTTTGCTCTTTGACTTTCCAGAGTCTGGCCCTCGGATATCATTTTCCTTACCGATGCTGGTTTTCTCTATTCTTCCCTTTATTTTTCCCAGTAGGGTATTGTGTTGGTTCATAATCTCACCAGGCCTTCTTTTAGCCACAAAAGCCTCTTTATCTTTTTTTTTTAACTGAAGAACTAAGTGGGTGAGAAAAGATAGGTGCTATGGGGACAGTGAGATCCACTTTCTGGCCAGGCATAGTGGCTCATGCCTATAATCCCAGCACTTTGAGAGGCTGAGGCAGGAGGAACACTTAAGTTAGGAGTTCAAGACCAGCATGGGCCACATAGGGGTATCCTGTCTCTATATTTAAAAAAAACAAAAAACACTTTATGGGTCAGAACTACCCAGACATTATCCTTAAAATTGGTTTCAGGTATGCTCAGGTATTTGCCCCTCTCAATGCTTGGGGTTCACTCCAGAATGGCAGCTCAACATTGCATTACTTTCTGTGTGTGAGCAGTGCTCCGGGTGAACTACTTTCCTTTCTTCTAGGGGAGGAAGTTGCGTTGTACTGTGCCAAGTACCTTCCCGATATCATCAAAGACCAGAAGGCCTACAAGGAAGGCAAGCTACAGAAGGTCTGTCTTCCCTCCCTGGCCATTCTGTACTCAGAGGCTTTCCCTTGTTCTCCAGCCCTTGGCTTGTCACTTCTTTCTGCCCCAGCTGCTGCTTGTTTACTGTTGAAGAATTCAGTGTCTAAACCAAGCTTAGTGGGCCTTGTAGATCTTTTTAGACCTGACTTATCATTCCCAGACCTCTGAACAGTTTTGCTTACCTGTGAGTGTTCCTTGGTATGGCAGATCACCCTCTAATTAGCATTCCTTCCTTGTGCCCACAGTTGTATATCGGAATTCATTTTGGACCCACTGTTTTATATTATTTTGCTTATATTCAGGCTTTAGAAGATGCCTTCCTGGCTATTGATGCCAAACTGACCACTGAGGAAGTCATTAAAGAGCTGGCACAGATTGCAGGGCGACCCACTGAGGATGAAGATGAAAAAGAAAAAGTAGCTGACGAAGATGATGGTGAGTGTGATATCCCCTCTTTGAGGTAAAATCAGCATTTTAAGAAATAGGCTTTACTATGTTGTTTGTTTATCGATTCAATGAGAGGGTGGCTTTCTACAGACCTGGGAGTCCTCACATTGGAGAACTCTGTGGTGTTCTCTTGCACTCTGTTTGGTTGTGGGAAGAAGGGAGAGAATGGGCCTTCACTGAGTGGCTGCAGTCTTAGTTGTATACATTTTAAATTACATTATCTTTTGTCATTGTGATGAGGTCTTCTTGGTTCCTGTTGGTATTTCTGTACCCTTTTTTTCAAGACTGGAACATTCATTAGCCCAGTAGCCAGTCACTAAGCCTGAATCCTAGGCCTAGATAACACTGTGGACTTCTCCTGGGTCCTCAGCCAGCATAGGGTTTCCAACTTAACAATAGCGGGTGAGAGGTGAGGGGATACTTCGTCAGTGGTGCGCCTTCGACTAAGAAGGGAGTGAAACACAAAGACCGTGGGAAGTTTGTGGAGGAGAAGGAAACGAGCGGGTGTTCTTCTGAGACGTGATCCAAGACAGGAGCCTTTGGAGCAGACGGCTGAGGAAGTTGGACTTGGGCTGCAAGGGCTCAGTCAGGGAGAGGAACTGCTTCCGGGAGGAGTCTGGCACGGGGCCTCTGATTCCGCCTCTTCCCTGCAGTGGACAACGAGGAGGCTGCGTTGCTGCACGAGGAGGCTGCCATGACGATTGAAGAGCTGCTGACACGCTATGGGCAGAACTGTCACAAGGGCCCTCCCCACAGCAGATCTGGAGCTGGGACCGGCGAGGACCCAGGGTCCCAGGGCCTCAATGGGGAGGCGGGACCTGAGGGTCCATTAAGGGAAACTCCTTCACAGGAAAATGGCCCCAAAGCCAAGGCCCACACGGGCTTCTCCTCCAACTCGGAACGTGGGACTGAGGCAGGCCGTGGTGGTGAGCCTGGCACGCCCATTGGTGAGGCTGGGCCTTCCTGCTCTTCAGCCTCCGACAAACTGCCTCGAGTTGCTAAGTCCAAGTTCTTTGAGGACAGTGAGGATGAGTCAGATGAGGCGGAGGAGGAAGAGGAAGACAGTGAGGTAAGGGCCTGTAAGGGCAGGCAGATGCTGAGTTGCAGAGAGGGTCTGCTTGGTTGCCACTGTGGCTTCCAACTCTCTTTCTGTCTCTTGTTTTGACGTCACCCCCTGAGACACACTGTCTTCCAAGCTTTAGCCTTGAATTTGTTGCCCTCCCTCAAGGGTTCTCTCAGTACTGCAACAAGTAGACCTAGTTCTGGCCTTTCAGGGTCCGTCTCCTAGAGAGAACAAGAAGATAGTTGTCACCTTGGATATCTGGGCGTTTCCTTCTCTGGGCCATTTATTTCCTGGCCACGTTGCCTGGAAGGTACTTTGGCTGACAGCCTGGGCTTCCTCAGGACGTCTTGCTGGCACGTGCAGCCCAGTTTGGGATGTTGTTTTGCTCATGCTAGCCTTTTACCGCCCGCAGACTCTCACGATCATAGAGTTGTGTCTTTCAGTGTTTTGGGGACCAATGTTCCATTAGGGCTTCTAGGTTCTGAGTATGAGTCGGGGGGGGGCTGGGGGGGGGCATTCAAGTCTCAGAGTCTGGGATCCTCCGTTGGGCAGGAGTGCAGTGAGGAAGAGGATGGCTACAGCAGTGAGGAGGCAGAGTATGAGGAATATGAAGATGACACCGAGGAGGCTGAAGAGGACTATGAAGAAGAAGAAGAGATGATGGTGCCTGGGATGGAAGGCAAAGAGGAGGTGTGTTGGGAAGGGAAGTAGTGAGTCTGGAAAAGCTCAGAGGTTGGTGTGAATCCCCATGATTTTGAGGCAGGGTATCTCCTCAGTACTTTAGCTTGGAAGTCATGGTCAAGGGGGTTTATTCTGCATGGGGAACTGGGTGGTAAACTTGGGGGATAGAATTATCTAAAAACAAGGGAGGGAGGGAGTGTGCTGTTGTCTCTGGAGGTAGGAAATCTGTGTTCCTCTTGCTTGTTCAAGCTCTTGGGGGGTCCTAGTGAGGATGAGCGTGGGTGGATGGTCAGGGGCACAGCCGTGAGGAGCTCCAGTCCCGAAGGCCCCTGTGATGCTCCCTTTCTTCCCTGAAGCCTGGCTCTGACAGTGGCACAACAGCGGTGGTGGCGCTGATTCGAGGGCAACAGTTGATTGTAGCCAACGCGGGAGACTCTCGCTGTGTGGTGTCTGAGGCTGGTAAAGCTTTGGACATGTCCTATGATCACAAGCCGGAAGATGAGGTGGAGCTAGCACGCATCAAGAACGCTGGCGGCAAGGTCACCATGGATGGGCGTGTCAATGGGGGCCTCAACCTCTCCAGAGCCATTGGTGAGTGCTGATAACTATGGGGAGGACTTGTGGGTCTTGCTCTTGGTCCCAGACTACCTGGTAGCCCTCATACCTTTTGAAGTACTTTAATATCTGCCCCCTCTGTCCTTAAGCATCTTTGTGAAGTAGATAAGATAGCTATCATTATACCTGCCTTTGAGACCTTCTGGATAATGAAAAAGATCGGTGAGTGACTTCCTTGAGGTTCAGGACCTGATGGTAGGTCTGAAACTAGAACAGCTAGAACTCAGTTCTTCCTTCTGCTAGTATAGACGGGGGCTGAGTGGCAAGGTTTGACCTGTCTCAGCCACCAGTCCGTGGTAAGCGTTGACACTGCATATCACCCAGCCACTCTTTTCCTTCAGGAGACCACTTCTACAAGAGAAACAAGAACCTGCCTCCCGAGGAACAGATGATTTCAGCCCTTCCCGACATCAAGGTGCTGACTCTCACTGACGACCACGAGTTCATGGTCATTGCCTGTGATGGCATCTGGTGAGCACTGACAGAACACCCCCCAGCCCCTTTTCGGCAGCATTGCTTCTCTTCCAGGGCTCAGAGCTCCTAGGATTAGCGCCTAGGCAGACCTCTTGGTGAGTGAGACCACCCAGCCTAAGGCCGAGCCGAGGAGAATTCTGTAGGTGTTTACATTGGCCTGGGCCGCCACCTCTGTCCACACTCCTCTGCTCTGCCTTGGTGAGAGCAAAGGTGATGCTGACTGTCGTTTTTGACCCCAGGAATGTGATGAGCAGTCAGGAAGTTGTAGACTTCATTCAGTCAAAGATTGGCCAGCGTGATGAAAATGGGGAGCTCCGGCTACTGTCATCGATTGTGGAAGAGGTGAGTTCAGGGAAGCAGGAGAAGAGGGCGTCTGGTCTGCACAGCCAGGTGTATCCTCGACCCTGGGTGAAGACCAGAGCCCAGGGCCGTGAATTGCCGACAGATACCAAGCCCTGACTGAAAGGTTCCAGATTCCCTCATTTCCCCGACTTTGCTCAAGCCTCATGGACTGACAGGCAGGCTGTGTTGTGACCCCTGCTGCCCTTCCTCTCCTTCTACTGTGCCTCAGCAGGGACAGCCCTCCCGTGGGACTCTGGGTTCCCAGGAAGGCGTTCCGGTGCTGAGGCTGAGCCACCCATCCCTTTCGCAGCTGCTGGACCAGTGCCTGGCACCCGACACTTCTGGGGATGGCACAGGGTGCGACAACATGACCTGCATCATCATCTGCTTCAAGCCCCGGACCACGGCGGAGCTCCAGCCCGAGAGTGGCAAGCGGAAACTGGAGGACGCGCGCTCTCCCGAGGGGGCCGAAGAAAACGGCAGCAGCGACAACAAGAAGGCTAAGCGGGACTAACAGTCACCCTGATCCCTGCCCGCCTAGACTGTTTCTGAGCCCTCGGGACCGAGACTGAGTTTTGTCTTTTTCCTTTAGCCTTAGTGGTATGAGATGTGCAGGGGCCGCTGGGGCCGCTGTGGCCTCCGTCTCCCCTCGCTCCGGGGCTCACGGCCGGCTCCGAGCCTGTGCGTGTGTCGGAGGAAGGACTGGCGGCTCTGGTTTTTACTCTGTGAACACTTTATTTAAGAACATTCTTTTTTATTAGCGGCTTCGTGGCCCCCAGCCGCTTGCACCCGCTCTGTTGTACACTTTCAATCAACACTTTTTCAGACTAAAGGCCAAAACCTGACCGTGGCGTGGTGTCCTTTCTTCTCCCTGCAGCCGAGCCTGAGCTGGGGCCCCTCGGTGGCATCTGTTGTGCCCGCCCGCGGGTGCGTGTGTGTGTGTAGTGTGCGTGTCCCGCGCTGGTGGTGTGTGTGCGCAAGAGTCGTGTGTTGTGCGTTGTGCGTGTGCGCGCTTTGTGTTCGTCCCCGGCGTGTTGTGTAGTGTGCATCTCCCGCGCGTCTGTCTTGCGAGTACAGGGGCGGCGCCCGGCCCGGCCCGGCGGCGCGTCTCGGCCCCAGTTCCGGTGGGCGGGACC